GAAGGGGAAATCACTGAACCAAAGGTCAGGGAGGACCCACAGCCTGAGTCTCATCCACACTCATGGTTCCCTGGAGTTTCTCTCAATCACTTGCCAACCTTTTAAAACTTGGATCTCACAGGAAATGCTCGATTTCCAACTTCATAAAATCAGCAGCTCTGCACTGCAAGGTGGGGTCACCCCTGAGGTGCCTTTGGGGTTTCCCAGGGGCTTTGTTGGCCTCTCCTGAACACAGGCCCTTTGCGTTTAAGGAGAGGCTTGTTCGTTGAGCCAGGAACTGTTCTACGCCTTTTCGTGTATTATCTGTCTGCACCACTGCCCTCTGAGGGTTCTGTTCTTGTCCCTACTTTAGTGATGAGACCACTGCAGCACACAAGGGCCCGGTATCTTGCTGGAGGCCACAGTGCAGTAAGTGATGGCATCTTGAGCTCTGGGCACTAGGCTGTCAACTACCTCCAGTTTGCCCAGTCCTCTTCCTATAGCCAGTCCCTGTGGGCACAGGAGGGGGCACCCTAGGGCTGGCCCTAGCTTTCATCTTCCAGATGAGAAAATAGGCTCCCTTGGGAGGTGTGATAGGCTGGATAATGGCTCTCCGAAGAGGTCTACATCCTAGTCCCCACAACCTGTGAACAGATTACCCTACCTGGAAAAAGGGAGTCTGCAGATATGATTAAACTGAGGATCCTGAATGCAGATATTCTGGATGATCTGGGTGAACCCTAACGTAATCACAAACCCTAATGTAACGTAAGTGGGAGGGCAAGAGGATCAAAGGAGAAAATGGGAGAGGAGATGATAGAAGCAAAGGTCAGAGTGATGCGAGAAGGGCCATGAGCTGAGGAACACAGGCGCCTCTAGAAAAGGCAAGAAAATGGATTCTCCCCTTGAGCCTCCAGAAGGAACACGGCCCTGCAAACCTACTGTAGACTTTCGGTCTTCAGAAGTGAAAGGGAACGAAAGTGTGTTGATCTGAGCCACTGCGTTTATGATGGTCTGTTGCAACAGCCATGGGAAACAAACACAGAAGATGAGCACCGAGGGTGCTGGAGCCAGTACAGCCATGTGGGGCCTACCCAGGCTTGAAGGGCCGTGGCTGCTTCTGCCGAGGGAGACACCACAGGAGCAGCGGAAGGGCGCCTGAGGACTCTGAGCTACTAGGCCACGTGGCGGACTTATGCTCTGCATGCCTGGCCCCTGTACCGCCCTTTCCCCAACCGGGCTGGCCTTGGCCCTCCTGCCCTTGTTTGCCAGGACACCCACCTCCAACTCTTGCCCCCTTCCGGGCCTGCATGACCCCGGTACCTGCCCTAGCACCTCTTCAGAGAGAATCTAGGTCCGTCTGATGCAAACTGGGTGCCTTTTCTATCATGCCAGGCCCAGTCACCTTGATTGGGAAACAGTGAGGGGTGGCTGGTGAGGAGGGCCTCCACTGGGGCAGGAAGATGGGGAGGAACAGGTCGGAATCGATGGAATTTGGCAATCGTGAGCAGCGGCAAACCTGAGGTGAAGGTCTAGATGAGGCGGCCTCCCGGCAGGCTATGCCCTGGACTGCGGGTCAGGGACCTCACAGAGCCTAAAGAAGACAGGCTCTCCCTGGGGCTTGTGGGGTCTTGAAAGCTATGCGGTATTGTGGAGGCCTGGGCTCTAACTAGCGGTGTGACTGCGCACAACCCCCTTCACCTCTCAGGGCCTCAGTCTTGCCCCCTGCAGGACCAGCAGGTCGGCCTGTGAGCTGAGGCCTCTTCTCAACACTGGTCTCAGACACTCGGGATCCTGCATAGGTGGCTGCTCCTTCTCCCTCCCTGGCAGCGCTGGGGCCCCTCCCCAACTCAGGCCTCTAGGGCCTCGCTAACCAGGAACTGTTGCCAGGTGTGTCAGGGCCCCCAGAGAATCCCCCCACTCCCCCTCCCCATCAAAGAGCCAGGGTGATGCAACCTGCATGCAATGGCCACTGCACTCCCCAAGCCTGGCTCCTCCGCACTGAAAAAGAGTCCCCAGAAGCCCCGCCCATGCTCCCAGCCCCAGCTCAGGAGTGGAAGGGACTGGGGCACCTGGACCCACGTGCAAGACTGCAAGTCTTGGGGAGGCAGCGGCATTTGAGTCCTGGAGGTGCCATGGGTCTGGGGTCAAGAGGAGGTACAGGAGAGGGCTTGGGGTGCCAAGACCGGGGTTCACAGGTGGCCATGGATGACCCACCAGTCACAAATTAGAATACACCAGGAAGGGCTAGGGAGCTAAGTGTGTGCACTGGCACCCACTCAGTAGGAATCAGTCAAGCTGCTTTGATGGGACAGCTGGCACCAGGGCTGAACTGGGTGAGATCCAACAGCTAGGGAGAGAAAAAGCTGCAAGGGGCTGGGACAAGAGGACCAGGGTCCCTGCCCCAATGTCTCCTCAGTCAGCATATGTGGCATGCAGCCGGCAACATGATTCCCATACTAAGCAAGTTCATGTCCAGTAATTAACAAATATCCTACCTGGCCACCCTCTCAAAAACCCATAATCCCAGTCTACGAGACAAAACCAAATTGAGGAATATTCTATAGAATGACCAACTCTTCAAAACCGCCGAGATCATGAAAAGACTAGGAAAGTCTGAGAAACTGCTGCAGAGATCAGAGGCTAAGGAGACATGACGACTAAATGTGATACGGCATCTGGAACAAAAAAATAGCATTAAGAACAACTAGTGAAATGAGAATAAAGCATGCACTTTAAAACCCCCTTATCTGTGTGGGTTCTTTAGTTGTGACCCATGTACCACAGTAATGTTAGATGTCAACGAGGGGGAAAACTGGATGAGGGATATATGGAAACTCTCTGTACTATCTTTGTGACTTTTCTGTAGATCTAGTCCACATGTATATCATAGAATATCTTTTCAGAAAAAAACTCAGACTTTGGTGGGTAGTGGGGGGGACAGGACTCTCTGCCAGCAGTCCGTCCTAATCCTACCTATGGCTCAAATATCTATACTGAGAAGTAGAAGGAAGGTCGGTCCTTAAGTCTCACTTAAAAGGCTGGGAGATCTTTTAAAGCACTTACTGCTTAGCAGTGGGGATAAAACACAGCTGCCTCAGTAACAACCACCACCACTACTCATGTAGCACCTGTTTGCCAGGCACTAATCTAAGTGCTTGACCTGAATTTATTTAATCCTCATAACAGTACTAAGATGTAGGCACTATTGTTTTGCAAACTCTACTCCTGGTGTGGGGCTCAAACTCACGGCCCCAAGATCAAGTCGCATGCTCTACTAACTGAGCCAGTCAGGCACCCAAGAAGTCGGCACTCTAAACTGCCATGTATATTGCTATGTTTCTATTAACTAAACTTCATACTTTATTCTGGTACTATTAATGGAGACTGAGGCACAGGGAAGTAAGCGAAATTGCCAACAAGCTAATAAGGGGGGTAGAGTCAGGGTTTGAACCCAACGACCTAGCGCCACAGTCTGTGCTTAACTGCGACTCTGTGCTCCCCAGGTAATCATGTAGGTCAAGTCCTCAAACACTGGCAGAGTGGACAGCTAGTGCTCTAAGTGAAAGTGGTCCGATCCCAAGAAGGATTTCCTGCATGTAACAGAAGCCTGCACGTCTTCATTCCCAGATACCTCTCAAGTTCAGGGTTCCCCCACTTTCTTTGGATCTCATAACCCTCACAAGCGATGAAAGCTGAACTCCAGGTGTCCTGCTGTGGGCAGATGCAAAGTGGGGAAGGGTTTCTGAAGCAATGACCCAAAACCACCTGGGCTAGTGGAGGGCCTACTGCACAGGAAGGGAATGGCCAGGAAGCCCCTCTGTTTAGTAAAGGGAAGTGCAGATCTCACTATTTCCAGCAGGTTTGGGAAATTGATCCGGAGTGGCTGGGGGACAGCTGAAGCAGAGGACCTTTTGAAAGAAGTGCTGAGGATAAGAGCTGATGCAGAAATAAGCTGATGGAGAGTAAGAGGATGGAGAAAAGGCAGTTACGGTGATGATGCTGGCTTCTCTGCACCCCACACAGGGATGTGCTGAGCGTCCATCATCTACGATGGGGAAGGGTGGGGATGGCTGGAAATTACTGAGACCTTGAAGGAGTGACCTACTAGCACATGCTGGATGTTCAAATGTCCGGGGCTTTTGCCAGAGCGGGAGGAAGGGGTAAGGGTTCCTATTAAAAATACAATATGTTGAAAAATAAAAATGAAAATAAAAAACGTTGAAAAATAAAATAAAATACGCTGAACAGGTACATAAGAGCCCGGCTCTCGGTTTCACAGGCATCGACCTATTTGATTCCAACAAACAACCTCACCAGGTATACCTGATTTATTAATCCTCCTCATTACAGGTAGTTAGTCCCCAATCTACGAGACTAGAGACCTTGTCACTTGCCACCCTCGAAAAGTCTGAGATTTGAAAGGCGCGCGATCTCATCGTGACTCACGCCAGACTCTAACCCACAAAAAGGTTTCTTAGCGTGGGGCAGTTGGGGGATGAGGACACTAGCGTGTGGCTGGCCGGAA